AGAGAGAGAGAGAGAGAGAGAGAGAACGGGAGAGATATTCTATATTTTAATAATATGTATTAATATTCTATATTTTCTATTCTATTCTAAATTGTAAATTCTATTGCATTTGATTCTATCTGATTCTATTCAATTTTCTATTCTATTCTAATTCTACTCTTATTCTATTCTATATTCGATTCTATTCTATTCTCGTAAATTGTAAATTCTACTCTATTCCATTCTATTCCCTCTTCTCTATATTCAATATGTCCTACGTTCTATTTTAAATTGTAAACAGTAAAATCTACTCTATTTTTAATATTCCATATTTCCTATTCTATTCTAAATTGTAAATTCTATTGCATTTGATTCTATCTGATTCTATTCAATTTTCTATTCTATTCTAATTCTACTCTTATTCTATTCTATATTCGATTCGATTCGATTCTCGTAAATTGTAAATTCTACTCTATTCCATTCTATTCCCTCTTCTCTTCTCTATATTCAATATGTCCTATGTTCTATTTTAAATTGTAAACAGCAAAATCTACTCTATTTTTAATATTCCATATTTTCTATTCTACTCTAAATTGTAAATTCTATTGCATTCTATTCTATTCTATTCTATTCTACTTTCTATTCTATTCTATTCTATTCTATTCTAATTCTACTCTTATTTTATTCTATATTCTATTCTATTCTCGTAAATTGTAAATTCTACTCTATTCCATTCTATTCCCTCTTCTCTATATTCAATATGTCCTACGTTCTATTTTAAATTGTAAACAGTAAAATCTACTCTATTTTTAATATTCCATATTTCCTATTCTATTCTAAATTGTAAATTCTATTGCATTCTATTCTATTTTCTATTCTATTCTAATTCTACTCTTATTCTATTCTATATTCTATTCTCGTAAATTGTAAATTCTACTCTATTCCATTCTATCCCCTCTTCTCTTCTCTATATTCGGTATGTCCTACGTTCTATTTTAAATTGTAAACAGTAAAATCTATTCTTTTAATATTCTGTATTTTCTATTCTATTCTAAATTGTAAATTCTATTGCATTCTCTTCGATTCTGTTCTCGTAAATTGCAAATTCCGTTCCATTCCCTCTTCCCTTCTCTATATTCTATATTCCGTTCCCTCCTTTCCTCTTCCCACCCCCCCTCCAGCAAAACAAGGCCATAAAACCAGGCACCCCTCACTAAGCACAACCTCCCTGCTTAACAACCGAAACCCTGATTCCCAATTGTCGTCGTAAGTCGAGGAACAGCTGCATGCAAAGCTTTCCCCTTTCCCTGGATTCCACCTGCTGCTTTGCACAATCCCTCCTTCCTCCCTGCCAGGCGCTTGTTCACGCCCGAGAAAAGCGGAAAACACGTTGGTTCATGGGGCTGCCAACGAGTGCCCGCTTTTCCGGTTTTAAGGACAGCCCCACGCCCAGAAAGCCTGGACGCAAACATTGCCAGCGAGGTGACTTTCTTGGCAAAGGAATTTTAATTTGGTAGGCAGAGAAAAGGGCAGGGCGAGGTTTCTCAGAGCGAAGACGCACCTGTCGGGGGAGAAAAAAGACAGAGCGAAGAGGGATTAGATAAAGGTAAAAGTTCCCCTCGCACAGATCTGCCAGCCGTTCCCGACTCTAGGGGGCGCTGCTCGTCTCCGTTTCAAAGCCGAAGAGCCAGCGCTGTCCGAAGACGTCTCCGTGGTCATGTGGCCGGCATGACTCAACTCCCGAAGCCGCACGGAACGCCNTGGAGGGGGAAGGAAGGATAAGAGAGAAAGAAGAGGGAGGGAGGGAAGGAAAGAAGGAGGGACAGAACGGGAAGGAGAGAAGGTAGGAGAAAGAGAGGGAGGCAGGAAAGAAGGAGGGAAGGGCAGAATGGGAAGAAAGAGAGAAGGTAAGAAAGAAGGGAGGGAGGAAAGAAGGAAGGAAGGAGACGGCAAGAGGAAGCAAGGAATTAATTAAAAAAATGCTCCCTGATGCACGACCATATTTTAATTTTGGCCCCAGCCATCATCCCAAAGTGGGGTGTCACAACCCAACATCTGGCTTATGAGAAGCCACAACCTAGGTTGGATCACTAGCAGCACAGCTGTGCGCCGATAGCGGCGAAAATTAAAATTAAAAATAAAACCAGGAATGGGGTAGCACCTTCTCCCCCCCCCCCCGACTAATACATTTTCTTAAAAAGCGCTTTGCAGAGCGTGGAGGGTTTCCCAGGTTTTGCAAAAGGGGTGGGGGGAGAGGGAGGAAGAGAAGAAGGAGAAAGGGAAGGCGGAGAAGAGAGAGGCCGCCTTTAACAGGATTAAGAAAGCTGCAGGGGGGGAAAGCCCCTTTAATCTCTAACCTAGGGTTAATCTGGATTAAGTCGACCCCCACCTCCTCTTTGCTGATTCAGATGGGGGGGGCGATGCTCATTTTTGCGGAGGGGATCTGATCCAGCAACAGGCATCTTCTCTACAGCCCCCTTCCTCCCCCCAAATAAATTGGGGAGGGGGAGGATGTTCCCTGCGGTTCGAAGGACAAGTCCTTGAACCCCTTGAGTTAAATCTCTAATCCCTCTTGAAACAGGGGGAGGAAAAGTGGAGGAAGGGGGGAGGCGATCCAATTACGGGGGTCTTCTTGTGCGGGGGACTCCTGATAACCCTGGTTTTAGGAATGTTGGTCTCTTGAGCACCCTGCGGTGGGCTAGTTTCTCTCTTGTGCAAGCCGCCATTGGTGGGCTCTCCTGAGCAAGCTGCCATCGTACAAGCCACCATCGNAAGTTTCTCGCTTAGCCACGTAAATTTGGGGCTCTGTTTTTTGGTCATGAAGTCGAGGACCAGGTGCGTTTTATTTTTCTGTTTCTTTTATTTTAGCTCATTTAATAATAATTTTTAAAACGCAACGATTTTTGGGACAGGTTGAAGAATTGCACTGAAATTGAGCAGGGATGCTATTTAAGGGTTTGCCCAAGACAGGGTTTGAACAAATCGAATTTCCGTCGCTAAGC